ATAGAAACTTCCATATAATTGAGTCGCTCAACTTGACTCCTGTCCGTCTTCTTAAGTTGACCGACGATAGAATTGATGCTTTAGTTACCGAGCGTCATATCCAAACAACCCAAGGTGACATTATTGAAAGTGCTCGTGACGAGCTTGCAAGTAACTATCCATATATAATTTCCAAGTTTCTGGGCATAGATACGCGCGTTTCTATTAAAATTAAAATAATATTTTTTTGATTATCTTATTATATAATAGGAGCTATAATGAGATATGGTATAAATAAAACAATAAATAAGATCAATATTTTTCGGAAATATTAACGGTCCTAACGGTTTATTTTTATTTTTATTTTATTTTATTTATTACTTTTTTTTTTTGCAACTTTTGCTTGAATTTATTAATAGTTGACAATTTAGTAATGCAACAGCCTGCTTTAAGCTTATTACATGTACAAATCATGGAGCGATTGCATGTCGATATTGCGTTCGGAGTTGATATAATTGAAAATAATAGCTTTAATAATTTGGTACCCTTCTTGAAAGCAGGTATAAAAAGAATAAATTATTAATAATAAAATTTAGATCTTTTTAATATATAAATTTACTTACTTTTTACCATCAATAGAACTTAAAAAGCAATCCTTACCTAAGGTTCCTCGGGCTGCAAGCATTGCAGCAGCTGCCGCAATTGCTAGACAAGATGGCGGGGTATTTAAATATTAATATATGATTATTTTCTAGCTTAATTTTTTTATAAGAATAATTAGTAATTTTGCGATAACATAACGTTCATCACATTAAGTCAAATTCAGATAATGCATCACACGAACGATCGCAGCGTAGAGATTCAGCGATTAAAGAAGAACTTTGTGAAGTAAATAAACTTATTATTTTTCAACAGCGGCAGAGTGGCGCAGGATATTGTCTTCGAAATCATATTTGTAAATATATTATGCGCGCTAAAGGAAATCTCTCTGAAAGCACACTCAGGTACATACATAAAAAATCTAACAAAAAATCTGACATAAAAAATCTAACGTAAACTAATCCTTTTAATGACCTTAATTTAATATTAATATTATTTATTATTAAAGCAAACATATAGCTTCTGATATGGAGGAATTACAGATTGCGAAATTTCCAGTCGAACCTGAGGAACGCGAATTCATTAAATATTGTCAAGAGCAAGTTTTTTTTTACATTTTTTTTATTTATTTTTTCCTTTAAAAAAAAGACTACTAAATAGTACAACTTTGAAATAATTAATTATAGACAATGTCTCGGTACCAAGACCCTAAGCTCCGGTCACGTCAAATTAACCGCGAATAGCGCACTAGAAATTCTGAGAAGGCACGGGATTTATAGAGTTTCTTGTGAGGTGTTCATGGAAACCGATGGTAGTGATCCTGTCCAATAATGAAAAAATTGAGTAAAGTTAACTTTCGGCTTAGACTCTTGTCCAATAATGAAAGAATTGGGTAAAGTTAATTTCGGCTTAGATTGTCGGTTGATCGATTTCAATATAATAATCATAATTTGCGCATAAGCTTTTGATCGTTGCAAAGTTGGTTTTTTTTGTATATATATTGCAGATGACAAGTAATAAGTTGTTATAATAAACTATCGATGAAACTTTAAAGGAATTTGTTATTCGATACTCGTTAAAGATTTGTCATATGATCGGTTGTATTTTCATAGAGTGATTACTATTATATAAAATTTGGAAGATTTTAGTTACAGCTGTTTTCATTATTTTTTGGGACATTTGAAAAAAAATTGTTGAGACTGAATCGATAAGTTTTGATGTCGGCCGACGTCAGTAACTTATTGATTCAGACTCGGTAATTTATCGATTCGGCCGTCGAAAATTTTTCAGATGTCCCAAAAATAATGAAATTTTTTAATGATATATTCTGGAGCCACAACAGCTGAACCAAATCCAAGTTAGAGTTGGTTTAAAAACACGTCTATAAATTTGGAGCAACATCCGGAACAACTGGAGTAGAATCTGGAGCAAGTATGAAGCAGGTTGAAGGTTGGATTACAGCTGTTCTGGGACAAACTAAGAATTTGTTCGTTTCCCGAAATATCTTCGGTTTCACCTAACTCTTCGGAAATCACGTCATTGTCTTCGGAACTTCAGTCCGGAGATAACGATGTAATTTCCGAAAAGTTGGATGATTCATAGGACGAAATGAAGAGATTTCGAGAAACGAGCAAATTTTAGTTTGTCCCAGAATTTATGAGAATAACTGTAATCCAATCCAACCAAACCC